ATTAGGTAGATTTTTTAAATGTTATTCGCTGTTAAAACAATAAACGTAGTCTGCTTTCGTTGCAGCTATTGACAAAAAATTTCGGAACTGTGTCGAATTACTAGCAAAAGAACTATTTTCTGGCAAGTATTTGAAGGCAAAAAGAATAGGTGGCTGTGAAGTAACTGGGAAAGATTTATTTGGTTTTTTCATTGTAAGTTTAAAAACTTATACAGTTTTTTTCTGTTGATATGATAATTTCTAAAGTGGAGATGATTACATGTATTCAGAAATGTACAAGCTTATTCAACTGTAATACCGTTCCACCACCAAAAGCGTTGTTTGAGGTTAGCGACAATAATTTTTTTCTCATTCGTTTTAAATTCTTATGTTATTTTTTGAGCATTTATGCCAAACTTAGTAATAATCTACCCTTTTGAAGCTAATTGGAGAGGTTTTTTTGGAGAAAATTTTTCAAGACTGCAAGGAAACATATAAAGAGGACATGAATACGGTAAGTAGTCATCAACAATGTTATTGTTGAATTGTCATTCTTGATCAACCTTACAAGCATAAAAGTTACAATTTTTTAGTTAACGGAACATACTGATCTGGCTAAAGAAAATAAAAGCAGTAAAAAATATAACATTCTCTTTTAAATCTTACCTAAATTTTAGTTCTTAAAGGCGAGAGAAGAGGCGAGAGAAAATGCAACTTTGGAAGTACTGTACAACTTGGTAAACTGCAGAAACTTTTTTTTATAAAAATAATTATGATTTTTTGCGCAAAATATCGCGAAAAAGACAAATTGATTTATTCAAAAAATTTGTCACCTCTAAACAATTTTACTTCAGCGCACGATAGCGGTAGCCCAGAAAAGCCCCGTTGTCGAATTGCAAGAACTAAATGACTGCGCAAGGATTCGTGTTCTAACTAAATTTCAAACCTGTCTCGGAGACAGAGAATGTGAAGCTTCGGAAACATATCGCCAGCGGCTTGTGAATTTTACTGAGGCTAGTACTTTCCTTGTTTGATATTTCTCTCAAGTTTTCAATGTTGTGCTAAGCAGCATGGTAGAACAGAAATGCAACCATTTTCTTTCCCGCTGTAATTTTTTGATTCGACACTACATCGGAAAAATACTTTTTTAAAAAATTCCTTTTCAGAAAGAAAGCCGCAAGGCGAAGTCAGTTATAAATAATAATGTTTTGAAAGTTCAGAAACTTGAGGTTCTGCTTAGCGAAAGCAAGGAATGCTACAGCCAGCAATTGAAACAGGTGACTATTGCCACAAAAATTATACCTGCAGTGCATCTTAATAAACTAATTTTTTCTTGTCTAGAGATATTTCCTTGGCGGTTTCTGTCCCAGTTTGGTAGTCAAAAAATGAGTATCTTGTGATAAAGGAAAGCAACTTTGAGCAAAGTTTGGAAAATTTGACCCTACTGTTTATTTGCCCAAATTGACGGTTTCAGCCTTATTTCTTCATTCTTCTCTTTGAAGCAATACAATAATTTTGATAAGTTCTCTCTGATCTTCACCCAACTCTTCGTCACCCGATAACATTACCTTTTCAAAAGTTTATCGCAAATTTTTAGCATTTTTTGACCGTACCTTGCAGTGCGTTTTTGTCGGCGATCAATTCGTCTCAGCAGCAAGCTAAAAAAATCTTCTTTTTTGAAATTCTTCGAAAACTTTCTCAGGTAATCCTCAAAATTGACCAATCTCTTCGCACCCGCCGGAGAAAGCTGAACACTTATGAGTTAGTAAAAACATAAGTACAAATTCTTGTAAATTTAAACTAACCGACACCCACTGCAACAAAAATTAAAAAGACACCTTTCGGCAACGTTTTGCGAATCACTTATATTCAGGGTCGGTGTACAAAGGTCACTTAACTGAAAAACCTCTACCACTACTGTCTTCTCCTTCACCTGATTTCGACAGAGAGAAGGAGGAAGGGAGAGACAGCTTTACGCTCCGCAAACTGTGGTACTGCGTATATTCACTGTTCCATAATCAATCTGTATTATAGGTTTTAGAAAAACATGGAGTACAGGGCATTTCGTTAAATCTGGATGAACTTTATAAACAGGTGATTTGTAATGAGTATCTTTATCAGTAGTAAGAACTGAAGTGTACGATTTCTACTCCACACTCAAATTTCAGTATAAGACAGGAGGAAGCATGACGAATGAAGAATTAAAGCGACTGTACGAACAGAGTAAAGTTGTAGCCTTAGCTTCACTGGAAGCAGAAATCAAAAAAGTAGCTGAGGGACCGTCTGTAAAGTGGATCAGCGACCTGGAGGAATATATAGAGGTTGTCTTTCGTAATCAGCAAGTTTTTTTTTTGCTTTCAAAAATAGCTTCTTTATAATTTATCATAATTCCTTATATGTAAACAGCTGTTTAGTAGATTATATCTGTTTAGCGTAAAAAACGTTATAAAGCGGCATATGGTAAAGAACACGTAGCTCAAATCTGATCAAACGATCAATTTGCATTCATTTTTACGGTTGCAGGAAACCTACAATAGAATCGAAGCCTGTGTGCTCCAAAACGCTTTTAAACTTCAGCAAATTATATCGGCATTTTCACGATCTGAAACCTTCTTTTCTGAGCAGATCACAAGGGTATTATTTTCCGTATGCCATTCATAAGATGATAGCAACTATTGTGACAAAAACTTTTTAATTATGAATATTTTTGAAGAGTTACAGAATATAAAAATAATAATATCTCTTGTAGCAAGGTAATACTGATGCTCCTATTTTCCTTGAATAAAAAACCGCCTGTTACGCTAAAATTATTCAAAAATGGCACTTCTTGCGAGTATATTTAATGAAAAAGTAACTGAGAGGTATTTATACCAAAAATAACCTTCAAGAAAAGGAATCTCTGCAATTATAAAGATTTTCTTTCATACACATTCTAAGTCTTAAAAATCATTTAACGAAAGCCACAAATAAATTTGTTTCAGTTAAAAGTACTATTACAATATCCATTAATTATGGTATGGTTACATTTTCTTCATAGCCTGGTTGAATACTCTTCCAAACTTTACCACTAAATTTTATATGTATATGTACTTTTGATGAGGTAGTAATTCTTAATATCTCTACCTTCTTTTCAACACGTCGAACGATCATAAGTAGTAAATTTTAAAGAAGCTTTCAGGTTTTAGTACCATTAACAGTTTACTGACTATCTGCTTCTGGTAAACATCTCTTCCTTAGATACAATTCTATCCTTTTAATTTATCCTCCAGCTGATCTCCGAACTCTCAATTTAATCATTAGATAATTTCCTATTTCCTGTTATTTTCTGATTGGTTCCAGACCTCTGATCGCAGGCCGGCCATAACATACATTGTTTACAGTCTTATCCCACTGATTTCTGAACTTTTCATCCTATTGCATCTTTTAGCGACAACTATCATTTGCGTATGGAAACTGAAGCAGAATGAAAAATAGTTCGCTACAGACTTCGTAGACAAAAGATATTCTATAACAAATTTAAAAAAATTTTACGGTTAAATACAAAATCTTTTCATAAAGCATGACTGAAACACAGAAATCGTGAAAAAATAGAAAAAAGAAAAAGATTTAGTGGGATTTGTAAAATAAATAAGAAACAAGAAGTTTTTGCATTCTAAGTGTTATTTATCTGAAAGATTTGTTATTCTCCGTGAAGCGAATTTTTTGTTCATTGTCCTTGTGTCCACTATCGTTCCAGGACCCTGTGACAAATGCAGCACTAAACGCTACAACAGGCTTAGTGGAACTTTATGATTTGGTGAGCACTCATGTACGAGTTTTGTGCATATAGTAACCTTGAGAAATTTATACTTCTGCAAAAAAAAAAAA